GAGAGGAAACTAGCATTTTGTTTTTCCCATTAACTTGTTTTATCCTAAATAAAAGCTAACTGACTGCTGCCAGATCAGGAGAATGACTAGGCTGTTTACAAAATGCTTTTTTTTCCTCTTATTTAACTCTGAGGAATATAACAACAGACACAAGTTTACTTAGGGGTAGAATGTCCTTTTAAAGGTAAACACAAAAGAAAATACCATCTCTTACCTTGACAACTGCATCTGGTAGCCCAACAAGGATTTGTAGGCCATTTTTTCCCCCAGAGTCTTGGTCATCAGTGATTCCAGTGTGGGTAGGAGTGTGCCGTAAAAACAATGGTCTTCTCCCTGAAGAATGTCCAGTGCCACAGTAAGTGGTTGCATAACAGCACAGTACTCTCTGATACACTGATGCTCCCTCTCATTGAAACATTTCAATTGTAGTGTGGATGAGATTGTGTTCAGCCCCACCAAAGGTATCTTTTAAATTCTCTCCAGAGCATCATAGAACGAGTTCCACCTGGTTGTACAAGGTACCAATGGCTTCCTTGCAATAATGAAGTCCACGGTCTCAGTAGCCATTGTGGAACGACTGGCCTTGTTCCACAGCCCAGCACATTTTGCGGTGGAACTCCTGTAGATGGTTTTCGTTGCAGCTTCAGACAATAGCCACTTCTCCACATCAGTGCAAGAGATGAGATTCATTGTGTGCGACGCACATCTCTGACGTGGAGGTAAAGAAACTGTGTCGTCAGCAGCAGCACCACTCTGCAGCACATCCCCAATGGAAACAAAAGTCACCTCATCCTCCTCATCTTCATCATCAGACTCAGGTGGTGGCCGGTACACTTGAAAAGCCTTGACAGAATTGGAGCATTATCTGTTACAGTTGATGTGATTTCAAACGACAGGCCATGAGAAGAGTTAATGTTGTCCAGCTCACTTGCAATGGTGTCAGATGTGTGTCGACCCATAAATCTCCTTCATGCCAGCGCTGCTTTCTCATGTTTCATGTTTTGTGGATTGATCCAATGAGCAGTTACACCAAGAAAACTTTTATTATGCCGAGTCCAAATGTCTGCTGTTGCAGAGACATGTTCTAACTCGCCAAATGTATTTTTGGGCTCTGACTCCATTTTGACATGTTCTTGGTCTAGGTAACTGGAAAATGTCTTTCTGCATGGTGCCTGCCCGGCTCTTCCTCGCACAGGTATATGGCTAATCAGTCCTCTGAAAGCATGGGACTCAACTGTTGAAATAGGTTTCATGTATTCCACAACATACCTGGCAATCAGCCTGTGTAGCTGTGGCTGGGTGATAGACTGTGCAGCAGGCTTTGTGAAATCAAGCTTTCGTTGTTTTGCTGGAGAAGCGTCAGCAGAGCTAGTGTCACCGACAACAACGTTACTTTTGGGGTCTTTTTCATCTAACTTGGTAGATGCGTGCTGTTTCTGAAGATGTTTCATCAGATTAGAATTGCTGGTCTTTGATGTGGATGGAGTTTTCTAACCTTCACAGAGAGAGAGTACAGTTCACCACAATATTCTTGTCTTTTACCGACAGAAAGGAAAAATAATGAACATACTTCCACGAGAGAAATCCTGCTCCCCGATTGTCTTTATCTGCCGCCGTGGTTCTAGCCTACGTGCGTGACGTCACAGCGTCACCTGCGCTTTTACATCCACCGCGGATACGCAACCTTTTTTTTTTCTTTTTCGGAAACATAACTTTGTTTACTGGCATGTTGGTGGTCAGTGTACAACCCTTTTCAATAAAGTTTTTTTTTTTTTTTTAAAGTCCATCACAGAAACAGCGATCTGTAGTTTGGCACACAAAGTACCAAATAACGACCCTATTTAAATCCCAGCAACGATAAACACGTTCCTGATTTCGGCAAACTAACTAGTTACCGTGGACGTTACCACAATAACAACATACTTACTGTAACGCGTTACTTAATAACGCGTTACTCCCAACACTGCCCATAAGTACCTGAATTTGTGCTTGTGAAATAGCGCTTCCTTGATCTGCGGTAGTGATGAAATGCTGCAACAGCCGGCTTATGTATATACATGAGATCCACTGACTATTTATGGCAGTAAGTGGGCGTGGTGAGGGCGGAATGTGACTAAAATGCAGCTGAGAACCTTTCTAGATAGTTTCTGATTCATGAAGCGGAAATTGCGTGCAGCTGTGCATACTCCATGTTTGATAGATCATAAACCTACTTGGCGTAAGTACAGTTTTTTTGCTGAGCTTAAGTACGGTTTAGGAAGGATTCTACGCAATGTTTGATAAATGAGACCCCTGGTCATGTGTACGTCTTAATGAGTAAAATAAAAAATTCTAAGTAGGGTCTTTAAGGAGTCATTGTGCACATTTGCCAATATTCTCTCCTGATTAATGCCCCACAGTGAACAGATCAGTTCATACTTCCATCCTCCTGAGGTTCCTGGATGATGATTGGCTTGTTTTGTTTTTCTGTGTCTCACGTCGCTCTTCATAACTTTTTTAAGACCCTCCTCCTCTCTTTGTATCTATCAGTGGCCCGCAGTACCCCCTCTCCTGCATTGTTCTCTTCAGGATATGAAATATTAATGCTGGATAAATGACATCAGAAGCCTGTTGCACAGAAATGTCTCTACCCGCCCTCCTTACTGGTTTTTCTCATTATTTCCTCCCATACACCCCCATGCTTTATTTATGATTGCTCCTGGCCTTGTTTTTTCCTCAGTTCTTGTTTGCTTCTCTGACTCTTGACTTTGTCGCGTTTTTTCTGTCTTGAAACGCTGCGCAGATGTGCATGAAGAAACATACCTGTGATGTGTATTTACACACAAGCACTCTTTTAGCTCCTTTATTCAAATGTAGTTTGGTTGATTTAGTTGAAGCATGATCCTAATGTTGATGTGGTTTGCTGAGTGGATTTTTAAGGTAAAGTTGTCTGCAAATATATATAGGCAAAACATGTGTGTGTGTGTGTGTGTGTGTGTGTGTGTGTGTGTGTGTGTGTGTGTGTGTGTGTGTGTGTGTGTGTGTGGGTGTGTGTGGGTGTGTGTGAGAGAGATTTTACTGTACAGGGATCCCTCGCTACTTCGCGGTTCGTTTATCGCGGATTTTTTCTTTGGAGCCTTATTCAAGGGAAATTTGCCGATTTGCGGTATTTTTCACCGGTTTGCGGTATTTTTTATGCGAAATATCAAGAAATTCCTGTTTTTTTTCATCATTTTCATCATAAAATACACTTTTTGTAATAAAACTATTAAAAAAAAAACAAGTAAAAAAAATTTTCTTGAGTTTTACCCACAAAAAAGAGAATGTGGTCATACGATAATTCAATATAGTACTGTACTGTAAATATGGTGTCCCTACTTTGTGGATTTTCACCTATCGCGACCAGGTCTGGAGCGCATCTACCGCGATAAACGAGGGATCACCGTATTTCTTTTACAAATGTATGCAACATTACACTGGAAATGAAGTGACCGAAGCAGAGGGATAACGATCTCCGTGACATCAGGAATCTCCCGCTGCTGAACCTGATTACAAAAATCTCTGAGGATTTGGTTTATGAAAACCAGTTTGAAAGAAACAAAAGTGTCTTTCTTTCCGAAGTTTTAAACTGAAGCTTGTTTTCATTCTGCCAACACAGAAAGAACACCATTTATTTCAGTTTAAACATTTAACGGATTAAACTGAATTAATCAGGATGGGGGCAGAAAGTCCCGCCGACTCAGCTGCGCTCAGAGGTTTTTAAGCTTTAATTAAAAAATAGAATATTTAAACATACAACAGCAAGGACACAACTAATAAAACCATCATAGAGAAAATGATCTAAACTGTTTTTTTGTGGGAATTAAAGCTTTTTCTGCAACCAGCCACTAGGTGGTGATTTAGTTTGATATCTACAGTATTTCAGTTACTATGCATGTTGATGGTTCATAAATGACTCTTATAGGTCAGAGATGTCTTCATATGTGGACTCAGAGCTGCTTTTTGTGTTATTACAACAACTTTTGAGCGAGTCCTCAACATTTCTCCTACGCTCTCTTACATTATGTCCGTTGGTCGGTTGTGATTTAGGTCAAAGTCATTGGCTAAAAATCTCCTCAGAAAACATCTTCACTGGCTTTTTGGCTTCACTGCCATCTGTCTACATCCCTGCAAACAGTCAACGTCACATGGCCGTGCAGATCTTGTCTGTATTGAGTCCGTCAGTCCAGACCACATCTGTTTTTGCACAGGGGAGTGCCATTTTACTGTGGATTTAGAGTCAGTTAGAAACTTAACTCTAGCCAAAACACACACATACTTTTGTGTCATCAGAAAAAGACTTCTGGCTCCTGTGTTGCCCATCAAGCGGAGTCATTGCTGATACAGTGGAGATAAAGTGCTTTTGGGTGTCTGAGTTTGTTTAGTCTCATAAACCTGAGGCATGTCTGACCTTTTGCTTGCGTAACGCCACAGTAGGGCGCCTCTTCCTGCCCTGTGGTGGTGGTTGCTACGGTTACAGACAGGTCAGCCACCGCAGCAATAAGGACCAACAAGCCAGGGGCTCCATCTTCCTCAGGGTCACTCAGACTCTGCTTCTTTTAGACTCTGTGAAAATAAAAACCTGTACTGTGCTGGTTTGACTCCAGGATTTCACTTACAAGCTCTGAGCTTCATATCTGTCATTATGATGATCATCTGCTCTGACGTATCACACATCGCCTCCCCCGCACCAATTAAATGTTCTGTAGTCACTCATCCCGTTTGTGTCCATCTGTCTCCAGACAGCAGCGTAATGTAACACTGTGGACTAGTTCTGTCACTTAGCTTTCTGTGCACAGATGTACTAAAGGAGATACAGTAGAAAATCACACTATAATTGAGATGCAACCCTGTTGAGTGGTGGTGTTTAGCTGCGGTTTGTTTACCATGTGTTTGTGTCATTCATCGGTTTCTTCTTTCTACTTTGTGTATAATCTGAACTTTTATGTTCTCACTGGTCCTCTGTTGCTTCTCATCTGCAGGATGATGGAGATGTGGAAGATGACATGACCCTTAGAGAGGTAACACACACACACACACACACTTTACAGCCAATGAGAGTAAACCAGTTTTACCATCAGAACAACCCAAAGTAACTTATGACTTTCAGGTTAAAGGTGTGGGAAACTCATTTAATCAATGCATTTGCAGTGGTCTCTGGTAGGAATGAATGCCTTGCACGTCTTATTCAGGGCAAAAAAAATCCAAAATGGATTACTTCAGCACCGACAAGTCCGCTGCTGCACAGAGCTCCAGCAGATTGCAGGATTTGGAGTCTTACTTCCTGATATTTGGACATCACGCCTTGGACTGGATAACAGTCTGTTTTATTAGCAACTGTTTTATATTGAGCAGTAACACACATCTGGATGAGTTTTGCTATGTGGTAAAGTTGCTCATGCCAATTAGGGATGGACAATAAATTGGCATCAATATCGGTATCGGCAGATGTTAGTCATTTTTTAACATATCGTATCGGTTCAATAAATAAAACTGGGCCAATATTAACAACCGATATTTTTTCCATCTTGTCTCCATTTGTTTGCCTGTTTCAGAGGGAGAGGGGGTGGTGTGTATTTGTTTAGTCATGTGAAGTGAATGAAGCCATCTCAGAACCATAAATATGTGTGTTGTGTGTACATAATAACGTAAATTCAGCTTTAATAATTTTCATTCTATACAATATCTGCTGATTTTAGAAACATTAATGTCGGTATATCGGTATCTGCAAATATCGGTTATCGGCCATAACAGTGATCTAAATATTGGATATCAGTATCGGCCCAAACACTTCATATCAGTGCATCACTAATGCTAATGGTTAACTTTTACTAGTGGGAACTTTGTCTGCAGCCATTCCTCGTCGTGAGTCCAGATTTGTGAGTCCATGAATATTGTGTGACGTAGCTCTGTCAGGCTTTTCAAATCCTAGAGTTTCACCGTCTATTTTCTATCAGGAGCTAATGCAGGAGATGGGTGTAGGAGACTATTTTCATGTTCAGCCTGCATGAAAACTCAAGAGTGTTGTAGCGGATTTTAGGACACAGATTCGCTGTGTCGGTCGATTGACAGCTGTCGGAATAGCGACTCCCTATTGCCGAATCGAGAGCTAGAAATTAGCCGCTGGGCATTCTAAGCTAGCGGGGCCTGTTAGCTAAACAGGACTTTGCGGTCTAATTCTTTCGTAGAACTGACCAGTCCGAATAACCAAACGTTCGTGACGCGTTCGTGTTAATTTTTCGGACAAATTAGCGTGTGCGGTTCGTGACGCAGCGCGCTCTTCCGTTTTAAAAGCTTATAAGGACTGTCGCAATTGAATGCTAGTCAAGCTACGGGATTGATTTCCGGTTGATCACTTCCGGTAATCGGGGTAAGCTGTAAGCTTCTGGGAGAAATTCTTTTATCTCCGTTACACAAGAGTAATACACAGTGAACACGAATTCACTCAGAAAAAGACATAAAAACAGTATTTGCCTTTAAAATGACAGCAGGAAGAAACCTGTGCTTTTAGCTTTGTGGTTATGAGTCCAGTATGGCTTGAGCTGACGTCAGCCTTAGGTGAAGAGAGATGAATCAGCGCCTCCTGTCCAGCTTGTCGTTAGGTTCTTTCGGCTGAAGAGGAAAGTTACAGATTGGCAACTCCGACAACTTCTCTAGAACGCTTGAACTGAAGTTAAAGATGACGTGGGCATAGTTTTATAATTTGGATGTTTTGATTTACAGTCGAATCAAAATGGGACAGATTTACCAAGCACCACCAAAACATGACTCGCGTCAGATCTGGAAGGCTCTGATTGGATCAGAAAAAGGAAATGTGTCATGTGACTTAACATTACGTGTGATCAGTCTCTAGTGGAAACATTTTAAGTTATATTACTTATTATAACTACTGATCATAACATTGTGATTTCACAGATTGGTTATTATTGGACTAACACTTTGTGTCACGAACTCCTCCAGCTGACTGCATTCCATTCATTCCTGCCACCAACGTGGCGACTGACGTCATCACGCCGGCACTACTTAAGGAAGTGCCGGCGTTTCATTCATTGCTCAGTCATCGTTTCTCACCAGACTTTGTATCGAGTCTCCAGGCTTACCAGCCCTCAAAACACTCAAACTACACCTACAGGAGATAACCACGCCGGCTATCTCCGTCTCTCCGCGTCTGGGCAACAGAACTCTCAGTCACGCTTCAGATCTGCCAACGAACCTGACAGGATGACTGAGCCCCAAGTTGACCCAGCGGAGTTCGCGCGTTTGCGTGCCGAAGTGGCTCAACAGCGCGCAATCTTGGATCAGCAGACGGCAGACATGAACCAGCTCCGTGCCATAGCTGATCGCCAAGCCACAAAGATTGAGTCACTCACCGAGCTAGTACTCCAGCTGACCACCGCTCTGCAACGTCAGACCGCAGCTGTTCCTGACAGGATGGAACCACGCCTCAGCCTTCCAGAGAAGTGGGACGGAACCAGGGGATCCCCGGAGGGCATGTTGGCGACCCTGGCCATGACTTTCGAGTGCCAGCCGGCACGCTACCCCACATCCTGCTCTCGTGTCGCTCTGCTGACCTCACTGCTGACAGGTCGAGCCGGTGAATGGGCGGCGGCTCTTTACAATCAAAAATCTCCTGCCTGCAATGACTATGAGACTTTTGTAAAGGAGATGAAAAAGACTTTTGTGCACCCCAGCAGCGAGGTCTCGGACGAGACGCGGCTGCTTCAGCTTCGCCAGGGCTCCCAGACGGTGGCTCAGTACACCTCTCGCTTCCGGACGACAGCAGCTCGGTTGAGGTGGGATGACGCCGCCCTAAAGGCCGTTTACCTGGAGGGACTGTCACCGAGAATCCGGGAGGGCATGATCGGGCACGAGGTCCCAACCTCCCTGGACCTGGCAGTGGATCTGGCTCTCCAACTGGACCGCTGCATCCTGAACCGGCCGAGCACCATGTCAGCCCCCGTACACACCAGGACGTCACCCCGCCGGCCGGCTCACCAACCGACGGAGGAGCCGATGCAGCTGGGACATCTTCCCCCTGAGGAACGGGCACGGCGCTACCAGGAGGGAAGATGCGCTTACTGTGGGGATTTGGGTCACCACCGTGGCACGTGCCCAAAACGACCGGGAAAAGGTCCCTCCGGGTCGGAGTAGGAGCTGTCCCGCCCGGAGTCTCCACTTTTCCGGCTCCACACCGAACCACTCTCCCGGTCTCCCTCCACCTGGACCAAGGCCCGACCAGACTGGAGGCACTTTTAGACACTGGGGCTGCGGAGTGTTTTATCGACCACGGACTGGTTACTCGGCTCAAGATACCCCTCACCGCCCTCGACCGACCCATTCCCGTGACCTCTGTGGACGGCCGGCCCATCATGCCGTACCCTCTCACCCACCGAACTCAGGGTCTCCACATGACTATTGACCAACACCGGGAGACCCTCCACTTCCTGGTCATCCAGGCTCCGGCTACGCCTCTCATCCTAGGTCATTCCTGGTTCTGCCGCCATGAGCCTCACATCTCCTGGTCCACCAGTAAAGTCCTGGCCTGGGGCACGGGTTGCCATAACCACCGGGACTCCCCTGCACCTCGGGCAGCAGCAGCTCCTCCCAAAGACGTAGACCTGACGCTCGTCCCTCCTCAATACCACGACCTCGCTCAGGTCTTCGCTAAAGAACCCACTACCAGGTTACCTCCTCACCGACCCTACGACCTGGAGATCAGGCTCCAGCCCGGCACCACCCCCCCTCGGGGTCGCCTGTTCTCCCTCTCTCCGGCGGAAACCCGGGCTATGGACAATTACATAACTGATGCCCTGCAGAAGGGATTCATCCGTCCCTCAACGTCCCCCGGGGCCGCGGGGTTTTTCTTTGTTAAAAAGAAGGAGGGGGATCTCCGGCCCTGCATAGACTATCGAGGGTTAAATAAAATAACGATCCGGGACCGCCACCCTCTCCCTCTCATGGGCACCGCTCTGGACGCCATCACACAAGCCGCAGTGTTTACTAAACTGGATCTGCGCAGCGCCTATAACCTCATCCGTATTAAGGAAGGTGAGGAGTGGAAGACCGCTTTTATCACGCCCACTGGCCACTATGAATATTTGGTGATGCCTTTTGGACTCTGCAACAGCCCCGCCGTCTTCCAGCGGTTCATTACAGATGTGCTGAGAGACATGTTGGGTCGCTGGGTCTTTGTGTATCTAGATGACATCCTCATCTACTCCCGCACGGCCGAAGAGCACATCCGTCATGTTCGAGCTGTTCTGTCCCGCCTCCTGGACCATGGACTTTACTGCAAACTGGAGAAGTGTGCGTTTCACCAGGAGTCCACCTCCTTCCTGGGTTTTACCATCTCCTCCCAGGGCCTGAAGATGGACCCCCAGAAGGTTCAGGCCGTAGCTCAGTGGCCTCTACCCACGACCCTGAAGCAGCTGCAAAGCTTCCTGGGTTTCTCGAACTTTTACCGGAGGTTTATACGCAACTTCAGTTCCCTCGCAGCACCTCTGACCTCACTCACCAAAACCACCAATCAGCCTCGCCCTTTTCGCCTTACTCCAGAGGCTGTCCGTGCTTTCCATGAGCTGGTCGGACGTTTCACTAAGGAACCCATCCTCCTCCACCCGGACCAGACCCGGCCCTTCGTCGTGGAGGTGGACGCCTCGGATGTGGGAGCGGGGGCCGTTCTTTCGCAACGGGGTCCAGACTCTAAGCTCCACCCATGTGCCTACTTCTCCCGGAAGTTTTCCCCCACACAGCAGAACTACGGGGTCGGCGACAGAGAGCTGCTGGCAATAAAGTGGGCGCTGGAGGAATGGAGGCAGTGGCTCCTGGGGACCACCGATCCCTTTCTGATCTGGACCGACCACCAGAATCTCATTCATCTACAGACTGCCCGCCAGCTCAACCCTCGTCAGGCTCGGTGGGCCCTCTTTTTCGAGCCGTACCACTTCCATATCGCCTACCGGCCCGGCTCCAAGAACCTCAAGGCGGACGCTCTCTCTCGGCGTTTCGCACCAGATGCCGGCCCCCCGGAGCCTCGGACCATTCTACCGGCTCAACGCTTCCTGGCCTCCCTCCAATGGCCGTTGGAGCAGTCCATACAGGCGGCACTTCCTGGCGATCCAGCGCCGCCGGAGACCCCACCGAACCGCCTCTACGTTCCCGCCTCCTGCCGGCAAGAGGCGCTCACGTGGGGGCACTGTTCACGGCTCGCGGGACATCAAGGGCAAGCCCGTACCCTCCAGTTCCTCCGTCGGGCTCTCTGGTGGCCGTCCATGAGGAGGGACGTCCGCGAGTTCACAGCTGCATGTGATGTGTGTGCTCGATCCAAGTCCTCCAACCGACCCGGCGCTGGAGAGTTGCAGCCTCTCCCTGTGCCCAAGCGGCCGTGGTCACACATCGGGCTGGACTTCGTCACGGGACTGCCGGCGGTCGACCACCTGGACACTGTATTGACTATCACGGACCGTTTCTCCAAGGCCGTGCACTTAGTGGCCCTGGCCGGCCTCCCCACGGCCAAGAGGACGGCCGAACTGCTCCTGGAACAGGTGGTGCGGCTCCATGGTTTCCCTCAGGACGTGGTTTCCGACCGAGGACCCCAGTTCGTCTCACGCTTCTGGAAAGCGTTCTGTCGCCTGGTCGGTGCTTCCACCAGTCTGTCCTCTGGATACCATCCGCAGACAAACGGTCAAACAGAGAGAGCTAACCAGCAGCTTGGACGCTACCTGCGCTGCTTCGCTTCGTCCCAGCCGACCACCTGGCCCCGCTTTCTCCTGTGGGCGGAGCTGTCACACAACCTCCAGACCTCCTCAGCCACGAGTCTGTCTCCCTTCGAGACCTGTTACGGTTATCAGCCACCTCTGTTTGATCATCAGGTGCCCGAGGTGGAGGTCCCTGCTGCCCAGACGCTGGTCCGCCGCTGTCGGCTCGCCTGGATCCGGGCCCGTGCGGCCATCACCCGGGCCAACACGGAGTATGCCCGTCAGCATCGCCGCCGCCACCGGCCTGGCCCCGTCTTCCGGTCTGGCGACCAGGTGTGGCTCTCCTCCGCTAACCTGAGGATGCCGGCTGGCTCCCGGAAGCTCACTCCTCGCTTCCTGGGTCCGTTCCCCGTCCTTAAGGTCATCAATCCTGTCACCTGCCGTCTGCGCCTCCCGGCTACTCTCCGGATCCACCCGGTCTTTCACGTCTCCCAGCTTAAGCCGGTGATCTCCTCTCCTCTCCACCCTCCACCGGTCCGGGTGCCTCCGCCCCGCGGTGTTGAGGCGGATCGCACCTACACGGTCCGCAGGATTCTGGACGCTCGCCGCCGGGGACGAGGTTGGCAGTACCTCGTGGATTGGGAGGGGTACGGGCCTGAGGAACGCTCTTGGGAGCCCACGAGCTCGTTTGTCGACCCTACCCTGCTGACTGACTTCTGGGCCCGCCGTCCTGGGACTTCGGGAGCCGTCCCTCGAGGGGGGGGTCCTGTCACGAACTCCTCCAGCTGACTGCATTCCATTCATTCCTGCCACCAACGTGGCGACTGACGTCATCACGCCGGCACTACTTAAGGAAGTGCCGGCGTTTCATTCATTGCTCAGTCATCGTTTCTCACCAGACTTTGTATCGAGTCTCCAGGCTTACCAGCCCTCAAAACACTCAAACTACACCTACAGGAGATAACCACGCCGGCTATCTCCGTCTCTCCGCGTCTGGGCAACAGAACTCTCAGTCACGCTTCAGATCTGCCAACGAACCTGACACTTTGTTTGATTAGCTTTATTAAAAATAGAGTTCTTCTGATTTATTAAAAGAAAGAGTCCTTCGTCTTCATTCTTCTCTTGAGCTGGAAAGGTAGAAACAGTTTAGGAGCAGAGCATGAGACCTTGAGCAATATCTCATGCAGATTAGTTCTGTGTCAGAAACTTCTGGTTCTGCTTTGAGCGGAGCAAAACAGAGCAGGGCCTTTTGGGTCAGAAATGGACAATTCATCACGCTACACTGATTATTATAAAAAATAATCTATACTTTTAAGTTTAGGGAAACTTTTGGTAATGAACTTCCTGAGAAAAAGTCATTTCAGAGAAATGTCTAAATTACACCACCCTCCCAGTGACACGTCCAGCTACTGGCGATGTACTCTTCAGATTCAGGCGTCTCTATCACCATCAATGGAAGGTTTTTGGAAAGTGATGAAAACTCACCTAGTTGGTTTGTTTGATATGCATTCTGTTACAGGTGTGTGAGCACTGGTTCTGGGCTGAACCTGCTAGACTTTGGGTGTTTTACTGAAGTCTCAGTTTCAACTGTGTGACAGACAAGTCTGGCTTTCCAGATCTTTCAGTACCTTGATGGGTGGATTACCCCAGAGTCTTTTATTTTTGGATATGGCATCATTTACATTTCATTCATCAACAGCACCTCTCATTTCCTCTAAATCAGAAACACATTGCTCACACTTTCTGCCTTTTTTCACTCAGTCTCGTATCGTTCACCTCTATTACATCCAGCAAAGCACGGCTTCTGTCAACGCCATGCTTCTTGTTTTCACCAACCAGCCTCACACTGTGGCTTTTTCTTGATTTATAGTGTCATTCACTGATTTGTCTGCTTCAAAGATTGTCTCTGTAGAGATTTGTCAGACTGTGGTTTGAAATATTTTACATCTTTGCCTTCTGATCACTGCTTCTATATCATCTGTTGTCAGTTTGTACTGTTCAGTTTGGGGGTTATGGTCTCAGTAAAACAAGCATGGCAACAAGATTCAGCGCTTCAAGCTTCATCTTTAATGATGCAATTTATTTATGTTAACTCAGCAGTTCTGCAGTAAACATTACTGAAGGAATAAAAATGCTGCAAGCCTCTTTTTTTGCAGCAAATCATCACCTACCCTTTAAATCTTTGTCATTTGCAGATTGCAGAGTGGGAGGAGAAGCAGCTTGATGAGCAAGTCGACTTCAGCTCCTGCAAGATTGACCCCGCCCCCTTCCAGCTGGTGGAGCGCACATCGCTGCATAAGGTCTGATTAGAAATCGCTGCTTAGCCTCTGGCTCAGTATTACTGCAGCATACACGTGTTGTCTTAAATGTTTTAAATCACCTCCCAAAGTTATGCATGAGATCAAGCTCATAGCTACGGTTAAAGGTGCATTATGTAGAAATTAATTTAAAATAGCTTCCTGTGGTAAAATCTGGTTACTGCAACCACTACAACTCTGGAGCTTTTTGCCGGCCGTCGTCAAAATGTTGGCGCTGCAGCATTAGCTTGCAGGAGACGCGACACCCCCACACTCACTGATGGTAAACAGTAGTTACATCCCTCCTTCCTTTGTTTGGAATGGAGAAAAACTCAAAATCCAGTGGGGCTGCACGATATTAGGAAAACCTGCGATATTCGATAACAGTGCTTAATATTGCGATGTCGATATTACTCATGATAAATGAACAAATACTAAAGTATGCAGTGTTGATGCCGTCTGGCGTGTGACGTCTGCTCTGGGTTCAAAGCAAACAAAAACTAATGCATGAATTCCATTACAACATAACATTTTTATTGCAAAAACATGCAGCTGCACCTGCTACTGTATTAGCAGCAAAACAACAAACTGCATGCATGCAGCTTCTCAGTGACTTTAAAGCATCACCTCCACCATAAAACTTTTTCTGATGCTCCAAATACAGAAAAACATCCCTTACCAGGGTTTTCTGAATAAATAAAAAAAAAATCAGAAAGTAAGTTTAAATGTTAAATAATAGTTAACATCACTTAAATGCAACAGCAAATCCTCTCATTGCTACTGAACATTTTCTCCACTTATGTGGTTATGATATAAGGCTGTTGCTGCAATTGGGAAGTGAACTGTGCTGGGCCAAACTAGGAGAATATTAAGATTTTCTGAGGGAAAGAGAAAAACAATTGTCTACCTTTCAGAAGAGGAACTGGCAAAAAAACTACATGGAAAATATGTGAAAACGTTTGTTTTTATCCCCAAATTGAACAAGTTTACTTAGATCTTAAAAAGCAGCTCAGATGATGAAACTGCACCTATGATTCTGATAACAAGCTAACAAATTGAACTAGCTCCTCTTAAGATAACCGGCTAGCAGAGCTTCTGACTGACAGTTTATGTGCAGCAGCAAATCAACTATCCTGGTTAACAAGGTTATAAAAGCTCATAAATGAAAAATCACTTTGATGTGTGGGGGAACTTTTCCAGGCCCTCTTTAGCAGGGTGGGACTGGGAGGAGAGTGCTGTAGCCTTTTAGCTGGAAGCTAGCCGGAGCCACCACCCGGTGGAACACTAGCGACATGGAGGTGGATTGGTTCACCGGCACGTGTCGGAGTCAGCCCGGTAAAAATGATTAACGACACAGAGCGGAGTCACGTTCACGTTTGAAAGCAGTGCTGAATCCAGAAACATCAGCACAAAGTGCGTTCGTTGCTCTGAGCCAGCATGACGAACAAGGGAACAGCGCCGCAAACTCTGTTCGGGTGTTGCTTTCCAAAAGGGGCTATGTAGGGGGCGGGCGTATTACGTGAACGGAACCATCTGATTGGCCGCATGTCAGCAGGACTACATTTGATTGGTCAAATCATACTTCCGCGTAAAAAACAGAGCTGGTTTACAAAAAGCTGATGTATGACACGGATGGAAATGTTTGAACCAAACATTTATCGCTGTTTTTGCCGTGTTTTGCGATGGGCCTATCGCACGTCCTGTTATCGCGATGACAATATTTTTTCGATATATTGTGCAGCCCTAAAATCCAGCAACCAGCTGGATATGAAACTTGTTTCAGTATAACCTTCCTTCCAAAATGACTGAAACATTAGACTCTTTTGGGATTTTCTCACTGTAAAGTTCTTACATATTCTTACACATTACACCTTTATATGGAAATATTACACCATGGTTGTTAATGGAGTAGTGCATTGTTGGCTTTAACACACAAAACATGGTGGATAACATTGTTGTTGTATGTTTAGTCTGGACACACCAGACATTAAATAACATACAGCCATGTTACGTCAACCCTCTTTCAGTCCTCAGGTTTATGTTTCAGTGAAACGATGACTTCCTTCTGTCACACACACACACACACACACACACACACACACACACACACACACACACACACACACACACCTATAAGTGGTATCTGGTTAGCATCACAATAAAACATGAGAGGAAGTTTTTACCTGAGTGAAAGTGCAGCATAAAGTAAAGGAGCCTCAGTGTTGATGATTTAGTTTCCTTACTGCAGCACATTTATTTACCCTAGAGGAGGCTCTGTCTTCAACACACACACACACACACACACACATTGTGTGCGGAGGAACTTTGGCTTGCCAGCGGCTGTGGCAGCATCTAATGTCCTCCATTTATAAAGCCACCTTCTCTCTCTCTCTCTCTCTCTCTCTCTCTCTCTCTCTCTCTCTCTCTCTCTCTCTCTCTCTCTCTCTCTCTCTCTCTCTCTCTCTCTCTCTCTCTCTCTCTCTCTCTCTCTCTCTCTCTCTCT